AATGAGTTATTTCCTTTAGCTTATGTCATTGTTGGTGGGAAAACTTTTGACAATTGGGTATGATTCTTGTCTAAGATTAAGGAGATTACAAAAGATCTTGATTTAACGATTGTATCTAATAAACATAATACAATTGTAATTACTGTCCAAGCTACTTTTGGGGGTAAAGGACATGTTTGTTAATAGCATGTAAATGAGAACATAGGTCTGAGTTCTTGAAAATCACTCAGGGAAAGAGAAGGACCAGCAATGAAACTAAGGAGACTATAATTGCTAGATGCAATAGCCTATATAAGATTGGATGTAGATTTCAATGAGGTTAAGAGAAATCTGATATCATTTTATCCACAGTTAGGACAATGGTTGAAAAATCATAGGGATATTGATTGTTGGGAATTTAGTAGGTTTCCTCATAGGAGATAGGATAACATTGCCACCAACCTTGTAGAATCATTTAATATGTGGTTGGTGAATGAAAGGAAGCATAACATTCCTATCCTAATTCATGAACACAAGAAAAAGTTAGCTCTAAGGGTTTGTTTGGTTCGAGGGGAGGGAAGGGGAGGTGAGGGGAGGTGAGGGGAGAGGAGGGAAGGGAAGGGGAGGGGGAGAAGGGGGAAGGGAGGGGAGGGGAGCTCCCCCCCAATTTGGAGGGGAGGCTTTGGAGGGGAGGGGAGGGAAAATTTTAAAAATTTTTCCTCCCCTCCTCCTAACCAAATGAGGGGAGGGGACCTCCCCCCCAACCAAACGGGGCCTAAAGTTATATAAAAGTAAGTTGGGCATGACAAATTGAAAACATTGTGTAGGTCTTGGAGTCAAAACTATTGGCAAATGTTGCAAGAGCTAAAAAAAAGCCTACACAACATTATGGCTTGAACACTTTCAAAGTCATGACTCCATGAGGAGATGTTTGTGTGAATCTTACCCTACGTAAATACTCATGCAAGGCTTAGTAGATGTGTGGGTTGTCATGTCTATATGCATGTGCAGCAATAAAGCATATATATGAGAATTTATATTCTTATGTTGAAGAATGCTATCTACTTAGTTGTCAACAAAAATTATACTGTGACAATATGATTCTGTTTGAAACTCATGACATTCCTAGGCTAGATAGTATAAGATTTTAGGATTATACATCTTCTGTATTGCTGCAACCACCTAGGACTAGTAATCCTTCAGGAAGGCCAAGAAGCAGAAGGATAAAGTCACAATTCTAGGACAGGAAGGTATATTATTGCTCTAAGTGTGGTAAGGTTGGTTATAGAAGGAAGACTTACAAGAATCCCAATCTTAGCTGAACTGTTGATTAACAATTAATTTTTTGATTGTATATATAGCTGTTGTTATTTTGTATATGATCTGAAGTTAGATATTTTATTTTTACTAGTGAAAGTAGCTGTTGTGTATATTTGCACAACCCATATGATTTTTGGCTGTAATGGGTTGGTATCTTATGAATATCTCTTCTATATGTAATTTCATGAAGGTACTTTATGGCATACTGTCACAAGTATTAGCCTAAATTTTTTTTGTAATCTATGTATATGGTACATGTTAATGAAGTGATATAAGTTGTTATTCTCTTAATATTAGTTGTAAATAGCTCACTCTAATTTCTCCAATACCCCTTGCAAACCTCATCTAAACCGTACCCGTGTTTATATATTATCACCACTTGTTAATTGCGTGACCCCAATTGTAAATTTATTAATGACAGTTGTTAGCTTTAGGACAATAACCAAGCATGTTCATGACTTAGCCTAATCTTACAGATCTTATTTGCGGGAGATGGCGGAACACGACTTGTTAGTCACCTAGTGTCACTTGTTAATTCTCAATACCCTTTGTAAACCTCGTCTAAAGGGTACCCGTGTTTATATGTTAACACCACTTGTTAATTGAGTAACTCCAATTGTAAATTCATTAATGACAGTTTTCAGTTTTAGGACAATAACTAAGCGTGTTCATGACTTTGCCTGATCTTATAAATCTCATTTGTGGGAGATGGCAGAACACCACTTGTTAGTCGCCCAATGTCACTCATTAATTCTCTAATACCCCTTGCAAATCTCGTCTGAATCATACCTGTGTTTATATGTTAACACTACTTGTTAATTGTGTGACTCCAATTGTACATTTATTAATGATATTTGTTAGTTTTAGGACAATAACTAAGCATGTTCATGAATTGGCCTAATCTTACAGATCTCATTTATGGGAGATAGCGAAAAACCACTTGTTAGTTACCTAGTGCCACTCGTTAATTCTCTAATACCCCTTGCAAGCTTGACAACTTGTTATTTGTCGAACTCCATTTATTAATTTACTAATAACACTGGTTAATGCATGAATGGTAATTGACCATAAATGTCATGTTAATTTCATAATACAAGTTGCAAATTTTAGTACTCCACTTGAAATGCATTTCATAATGTGTACTAGTAATAATGTCATCCATATGGCGGGTTCCCGGTATCAAAAGTAACTGAAACTAAACCTGATTGCAAAAGAGTAATTACAATTATCAAAAGATTATAAGTCAAGATGACATGAAAGATCTTGAATAAGATCATTGCCTTTTCTTTTGGAATGGCTCGACACTTGAAATGAGTGAATGGGCTTCTGTTGATTTTGCGTTACATGGATGGTCTATAAGCCACCAAAATAAGTCAACTTTTAAGGAAGCCAACTCATCCTACAAAACATTTATGAAGAAGGTTAATACATTTCCAACTTCATTTGCAATAACTTTAATAATATAATATTCAAATACATCCTTAAAGCTATACTTGTGTATATTTAGGCATTGTGTAGGTTGGCTAATCTTTATGCTCTTTGTTAAGCCAGTATTTCAATCATGTGATGACATAAAGGTAGGCCGCATTCATATCTGTATTATGTAATTTGAAAACAAGCTAAGGTTAAGATGGAAGACTAATTAATAACAATTTAACATTCAAACCATAAACTTATGTGGTTTCTTATTTATGAATTGCCCTAATTACAGCCTCGCAGTTGGGGTCATTCTCAAATAGCTCCGGCTTAACCTTTATTAATATCTGAATGAAATTGTCCTTCTTTACAATAAAATTTATCAGCATCAGTTCAATAAAATTTCATGCCACGAATGTATTAATGCATTTTGTCTTACATAGCCTTCAACCATCATTCTTTTTCCACGATTCACCGAATCGTTGGTTGACTTCTTCACTTTCTTTCCTTTTTTATTAGTCTTGCCTTCCTCATTGCCCATCATGGAGTCTAGCATATAAAATTTTAGAGTGCTTGGTTCCATTACAAAGCAGAACCAGTAGTTAGCAAAAAGCACTGGTGCAAATATGTACTCACGCTCTCTTATGCTATAACCTATGTATTCTGGCATAATCTGCTACAGGTTACTATCCAAATTTCAATGTCTTGGATTGTGAACCATTTGGTCCTACAACAATGCATAATGTCAAAAAATGCTTCTGTGAAACATAATCCGTCCATATAAAGTAAAAACAATATATTTCACCATGAATTCAATATCAAATATATGCTGTTTCACCCTTGAAGCATGTTCCTTTTGCTTGCCAATTAGAGTCTTGCAAATCCTAGACATAATCCATATGACTGAATAACATGTTACTTCCACATTAAAGAAATTAATCTATGCCTTTACATAAAAGACCCTACTAACTCGGTTACCAATCCATTAGTTAGGACCAAAATGATGAAGTTCATCACGTGTTAGATGATATCCAAACATATCCACTAAGATTCTACAAGGGACACGTAACAAATAAAAAGTATTTAAATTATTGTATTTAATAGGGTAATACTTTAATTGGTGAAGTGATCGGACTTACTTTTTACCATCCTTTTTTATTACAAGATATAAAATATTAAAAAAACTCTAAAATTCAAGGTAATAAAGATTTGTAGTAGACTACTTTGATAATTATATTATCAAAAGATTTGTAATATATTAATATATATTAATAAATTGATTATTAGGAGTGTATCTCATCTTTATTTCCATTTTCTACATTTTTATCTCTACAATTATATTCTTTGATTTAATTTTACCAATATGAAAATCTAAATTAAAAAAGAAAGTAAAGCAATTATGTTTAAAGAAAAGTGGATGTCATGGTGACCAAAACTATGATTTGATTTGATTTTTACTTAAACATGAATCAAACCAAACTAATCATTGTACAAAAAAAAAAATACTTGATCGAAGTTTAGTTTGATTTTTAGGTAGTTTGATTTGATTTTTTTTTATATAGATCAAGTTTTAATTTTTTTAGTACATAAAATTATATATTAAGGTAAAGCATGATTTTTGACTTTTTATTTTTTCTTTAATATTTTAACTTCAAATCACATTCTCATCTTAATTATTTATAAATGGAAATAAACATCATAGGTAAAATAAAAAAATTCAAATTTCAATATCAATAAACATTAGAGTATATTCATTTGTAAGGAAGATGGGTTAAATTTTATTATAAATTATCTTTATGCCTATAATAAAGAGTAACTCATTTTAAATCAAAAGAAAGTAAAATTCTATACATAAAATTATCTAAAAATAATAACACTATATGCATTTGACTTTCTAATAGTGTAATTGAGAAAAGAAAGAGTTAGCATTTTATATTTAGATTGGGCTTTAGTTAAAGTTGAAATTTAAAAAATAAACACTAATAGGCTAATATTAGTTATAAAAATATATATTTTAAAATATAAAAGATATGTTCAAGTTTAGTTAATATTTGAAAGGGAAAAAATTAAAACCTGAACCAAACTATTCTGATTTCAAATTTATAAAACCAAATGAAGCCTTATTAATGGTCGGTTTTATTCAATTTTTATGGGTCAATTTTATAAAGTCGGTTTTTTTTCCGGTTCAGCTCATCCTTTTGATTTGAACGTTAGAAAAATTGAATAAAATTCTTCATAAAAAAAATAATAAGCTGATTAAACAAAGTAGTAACGGCTATTTTGTTGGGCCACACAGAACGGTTACTTGGATGATCATCACTGGCTCAGGCGTGAAAACACAGCACGCTCCTCGGGGCTTCACTTCTAGAGGCGATCTTCTTTCTTCCTGGGAGAAAAGATCCCGACAAGTTCGAGAACAGAAGAAGAAATTGCAGCTACTCTCGCCTCAGCTGCTTCCACCACGTCTAATCTTTTCTTCTGGATACAAACATGAACTTGAAGAACATATTCAAGAAGAAAACCTCTCCGAAAGGTGAATTCCATTCCTTATCTTTAATTCTTCCTCAAACCACTTTCAATTAAGCCACTGCATTGCCCTAGTCGTTTCTCCAACTTTGACACTAGGGTTTGCTTCTGGGAAATTTTCAAAAACTGGATATTTTTCTGGGAAAATGTGGGTAGGAAGTGGAATTATGTTTTTAATCCAATAAAATCTTTTGTTTTTTGTACTTTCCTTGACCCTAACCCGATCTGGTTTTTCTTGAGGGGTGAAAAAAATCACTTTCGATGGTTTATTTGCACAATTCGGGCTTTGTGCTAGCTCGGTGTTCAGCTCTCCGTTATAAACTTCGTGAAAAATGAAAAGAAATTTCTGGTATGGATTAACCAGTTGTTTACGGTACTCATTGACATCCGTTTGTTCAACAGAAGCTCTGCGAACAAGTAAAAGAGAAATGACTGTTGCAACAAGAGGTAAATACTTGGCTGCACAGTTCCTTCTTACTTTCCTAGCAAATGAGAATTTTTTTGGCTCTGATTAGTAATTAAGAATTTAAAATTCATTATTTAAGCAAAAATTTTGTACCTAAAATTACCCTGTTGATACAGAGTAGAATTGCGAGCTTTCCAAATTCACATCAGGATAGTTAAAGAATAAAAGGTTTACTAATTTAATGGTTTTTGTACTTGCATCCAGGTTCAAGTAGAAAGTTACTTTAGCAATTTTATTTGGATTATTTAGATTTTTTACTAGTAATAAACTGAAGTTTGTTAGCAATTATGAATTGTTCATATCGGTAGTTTTTTTTTTTTTGTGCAAATTGATGAAATTGCTTTATTGACACTTTCACTTAAAATATTTATGTTTAGCCCCTTTGTGGCATCACTTTCAATTTTGTTTTTCTTTGTTGAGACGCTGAAATTATTACACTCTCTGCTTTAAACGCCTTTACTAAATTTTTAGAAAAATCTCCAAGACTACAAATAATTGCAAATTCAGTATCCAAGAACTATTTCACGGACATTGAGTATTTCATTTAGAATAACATTGACTGTACCTGCCACTTATTGAATTTCTTTGGCCTCCCAAAATTATTTGATTCCGTAGACGTTGGGTCAAGATCTACCTAATTATAGTAGTAGATGTTATAACTTTTCGGTCCATGTTATCTGCTTTAATTTCAATTTTGTATTATGTACCATCAAAGCTATTTACCCTTGTTTCTTTATTCGATGTCATGCATTTCCTTTTAAGTAAATCTGTTAGTATTTCATGTAGTGTAACTTTTGACTTGTCCATGATGGTGCATCAAAAGTTATTACTTGAAATAAGCAAGGTTAATTGTGTTGATTATTTATAAAGGAGCATCTCTCCATCTTGCTATATATTTTTTTTCAGGTATTGAACGAGAGATAGCATCTCTGCAAATGGAAGTATGTATTGTCAACAGATACATTTTCTCTTTACTAGAATCGAGATGACTTTCTCTTTATTTCATTCTCAAAGCTTAACTGTGTTGTTAATTACAGGAGAAGAAGTTGGTGGCGGAGATTAAAAAAGAAGCTAAAACTGGAAATGAGGCAAGTTTCTTTTCACTTAGATGTGTATGATCTTTCAATAAGTCATAGAAGCATATATCAAGTTAATTTAACATCAAGATTATGTCAATTGGTGTTAGTTTGGTCAATGTATATGTATAAGTGCTTTAAGTTCCTCTCGCAGAATTTTAATTTTTGGTCCCACTATCTGATGAGATCAAAGAAACCCACCAGATAAGACCATAAGCTATCCTCCACGAGAAGAACAGCAATAGATTTTCCTTACCAAATTGGGCCTATTAGGAATATTTTTGCTTGTACAATGTTTGCATTTTCTATACATTGATTAGCTTGTCATCAATGGGGGATGATTTGAAGTAAATAAAAAGAAAGGACTTAGAGATATCATAAATCACATATACGATAGATATTTATATAGAATAAAATATTAGGTCCTCTATTAGTTTTGGCATATATTGTTTTTTTGGGTTCATAACAATGTGCTTGATGCAAATTTGACCTAGTAATACCAAGTAGTTTTATAAAACTAAAACTGCTTGATACAACAAAGAGGAAACTACAAGGGTTGAGACGTTGTCCTACTAGAGAACTTAATCTATTAATAGAGCAGTACCCCAATTTATGACTGCAGGTTCATTTATGAGTACAATAAAACTTGATGGACAAAAAAAGACCTTTTTTTTTTAAACATAATCACCTTCAAATGACCTGATTCTAGCTGTAAAACTCTTATGCCAACTTAACCGCTATCCTTTAAAGGCATGCTCATGATGATGAATGGTTCAAAAGTGCACTTGTGACTACATTAGGAACCATGTTTAAGTGTGCCTATGTAAAAGTCATTTAGCATTAGTTGAGCATGTAAAAGTTAGGTGTCCTGTTGTAGTATTTAAGACATGTTTGTAAGTTAGAGATGGAACGGTTTTATCTATTAGTTCACCCCTTTTTGTTTTATTTATATTAAGGGTTTAGTTCTTTAAAATATCATCTTACAATTACCAATAAAATTGCATGTGTCCTCCACAACTTCCTTCTAAAAGCCCTTCTCTCTTCTTGAAATCTTTCTCTAAAATTCTTCTTATGATGTCATTAAACAATATATAAGTATATGTGGAGTTTGAGAAGAAAATATTTCTCATTGATTCAAAATTTTGAGTTACAACCAATAAACACACACACAGGTGAGAGACAAAACAATAAATACTAATAACTCTTAATAATCAACAATGATCCCTAATATCAGCCCTAATAATCAGGCTAAAATATTTACAATAGATTCAGATATTCTTACGCTCCCCCTCAAGTTGGATCATAGATGCTAATCATGTGATAGAACCTGTTATTTTCCTAAGACTTATATGAGGAAGACAAAAAAGATACTAATCATAACCTGGTCCAGATGTTTATCCTTCGGACCTTAGCGATAAGGAACAGTGATTTGTGATCTTGTGTTATGATTAGTATCTTTTTGGGCGGTATGGGCTATGGGAAAGCCGTGCTGTAACTATTAGTAGTCTTTTGTTGGTATGGGGGGATATGTCTTGGTAATAGATCAGTGAGGGAGAGACTGGCCTCTCGAATGCCAAAAGTTGTGAGATCTCTATGAGTGTGCCTTATTCTGTTATTGCTGTATTTTGGATTGTTAGTAGAGATTAGGTTTTTGAACAAAATCAGTAAGTGTCAATTGTAACACTGATTTGATTCTCTTTTGGTTTATTAATATCAAAACCTCAGTATTTTCCCCTCATCTCACTCTATTATTGTAATTTTTTGCATTTAATACTCTTTATTTCTGGTTGGGTCACATTATCATGTCCAACTTGCTTATACAATTCTCAAATGCAGGTCTAAGTAACCTTTTAATTAAAACATTAGCTGCTTGCAATTTTGTTGGCAAATAAGTTAAACATAGAATTCTTTCTTCTACTTTTTCTATAATGAAGTGTTGGTTTATCTCAACATGTTTAGATCTGTCATGTTGTATTGGATTTAAGGCCATATTTATGGAAGCCTTATTATCACAGTAAAGCTTTAATGGTGAGTTTGCTTCAACTTGTATTTCATTCAAGACTCGTTTCAGCCACAACTCCTCCGCTATTCCTTGGGCCAAAGCTCGTAGTTCAGACTCAGCACTACTTCTTGAAACAACTCTTTACTTTTGGTTTCTCCATGTAACTAAATTCCCCCACACTAATGAACAATAGCCGGAGGTTGACCTTTGATCTTTATAAGTTTCACCCCAACTTGCATCAATGTAAACCTCAAAGGATCTTTGCTCATGTTTTCTGAAGAGCAAGTGATGTAAAACGAGAAGGGGAGAGGGAAGATAAAGAAGAGGAAGAGAGAGAAAGAGAAAGGAGGGGGATAGAGAAAGAAGGAAGGGAAGGATGAAACTGTCGGAAACTCTTATTCAATAATACTCAAAAGCTAAATACAAATAAAAAAACCTACCTTTGTTTATAGAGCTCTAAAAATAATAAAATAATAAAAATTTAAATTTAAATCCCAAATCTTAAATCTAAATCTAATCTTAAAAATATTAATATCTAAGATAATAAAATAAATAATAAATTCTAATTCTAATGGATAGAATCCTTATTCAAATATCCCTAATGGATAATTCTAATATCTTAAATAAATTATAATTATCTTAATTAACTATTATCCCATATTCCATTATTTCTCCCCCGTTTGAAGAACTTATCTCCTGACGAGTTAAAATTGATGCGCAAATTAATCGGGGATGGATAGGCAAGATAAAATTTCATCCATGTGTGTAGATTTGAAAATCCTTTCCAACAAGTGCGGTAGTGATGAACTACATCTTGTGGAGGACAACATTGATTATTTGGAATCTCTAGAAAACCTTTCTAGTAGACAAGATAATGTTGAAGCTTCCTGCTAAGTGACAAAACATTCTTAACAGGTGCAGTTTGTAAATGAGATGAATCAGTAGTAAGGTGAGGTTGGTTTTGACTGATCACAACTTGAGAAGGTGCCACTTGTACAAGAAGTAGAGGAGCTTTTATTAGAGTTTTTAATGGAACCCGTAGAGGTAAAGTTGCTGGAATAGATATACTGCTCTCATGATTAGGCTCTACAAAGGTTACTATAGACTCTGAATTTAAGGTAGGAGTTTCAACCTCTTACTGTTTGATTGCTTGTTTTTGCTGATTTAGTGATTCCAAAATTTTTTGAAAACTTTTCTTTATTTTTTCATATGAACATATACCTTCTTGAATTTGATGTCTCAATTCAGCGTTGGATTCAGCATTGCGGCATTTGACTTCAGCTATTTGCCTTTCAAATTTAGCATCAAAACTTTCATCCTCGACAATCTTTCGTGCATATTCAACCCTACTACGTGCTTCATAACCACACCATTAGTCATATGTACACCAGTATTGTTGTCGTTTTTCAATTAATTTCCTCTGGTAGCCTTTACTATATTATGGATGTCTAACACGTCGAGGTGGGGTGCTATAATAATTTTGGCACTCCCTGCATGGGCATTCATGATAATATTCTACATAAAATCATGAATATATGAATTAAAAATTACCTTTCAAATATTTTATATGATGATATGTGGCTTCAGGAGAGACTGAATTATTTTATGGATCTTAACATGAAAAGCAACATAAGGAAGGGAGGTGAAACCAGGCTTTGGTATCAAATTGATGTAAAACGGTAAGGGCAGAGGGAAGATAAAGAAGAGGAAGAGAGAGAAAGAGAAAGGAGGGGGATAGAGAGAGAAGGAGGGGAAGGCCAAAACTCTAGGAAACTCTTATTTATAGAGTTCTAAAAATAATAAAATAATAATAATTTAAATTTAAACTCTAAATCCTAAATCTAAATCTAACCTTAAAAATACTAATATCTAAGATAATAATAAATAAATAAAAAATCCTAATTCTAATGGATAAAATCCTTATTCAAGTATCCTTAATGAATAATTCTAATATCTTAAATAAATCGTAATTATCTTAATTAACCATTATCCCATATTTCATTAGCAAGTCTTTACCAAGAGTACTTTCTAGACATCTCAAAATCCTGTAGACTGCTTCCATATGACTCTTCATTAAACGGCTCATATATTGACTGACTACACTGACAGCAAATGCTATATTTGGCCTCGTATGAGAGAGACATATCAATTTTCCAAGGAGCTTTTGATATCTCTCCTTATCAGTTGCTTCTTCCTTTTTTTTAGCTTCCTCCTCTTCTTCTTCACCTTGCTCATTTACCTTAGGCTTCTTCTTCAGTTTCTTGACTTCTATAGGAGTTTCAGTAGGTCTGCAGCGAACATACCTGTCTCTGTCAAGAGACCAAGTATATACCTTAGGCTTCTTCTTCGGTTTCTTGACTTCTATAGGAGTTTCAGTAGGTCTGCAGCGAACATACCTGTCTCTGTCAAGAGACCAAGTATATATTTTCTCTAAGAAACATAGATTCCTCTTCTTGACCTTACAACTTCCATCCCAAGAAATTATTTTAACTTCCCAAGATTCTTGACCTCAAGTTCCTTGCCAAGGGTGTCCTTCACTCTCTCTTTCTCGTCAAGGTGATTTTCGGTGAGTATTATGTCATTAACATTGACAATAAGGATACATATCTTGCTTCCCTTGATCTTAACAAACATTGTATGATTCGACAGGGCTTGCTTGCAACCTTCAAACTTTAAGACTTTTGAGAATCTGTTAAACCAAACTCTTGGTGACTATTTCAAGCCATATATAGACTCTTTCAGTTTACAAACTTGTTTTTCCTTACCTTTATCAAATCCAAGAGGTAGAATCATATAGACTTCTTCCTTAAACTCTCCATTCGAAAAAGCATTTTTAATATCAAGTTGATAAAGGAGCCACTCAAGATTAGCTACTATAGACAATAAAACTCTAATATTGCTTCCATTTTGCCACCAGAGCAAATGTTTCTTCATGGTCTAAACCATATCTTTGGGGAAACCACCTTGCAACCAAGCTACCTCTTAACTTGTCAAGGGCTCCATCAGCCTTGTATTCTGGGCTGAACACCCACTTGCAACTCACTGTTCTCTTTCCTTTAGGTAGCTAAACTAATTCCCATGCCCCTTTCTGTTCTAAGGCCCTTATTTCTTCCATGACAACACTTCATCATTTAAGGATGCTTAAGGCTTCTTGTATAGTCTTTGGTACCTTCACCTTATCACGATTAGTTACAAAGGCCCGATATTGGGGAAAAAGTGCATTGTATGAAACAAACCTCTCTATCAAATGAAAATTACACGAGCATAGTTTTTTCCTCAAAGCAATTGGAAGATCAAGATTACTTATGAGAATATTTTTATTATGAGAATATTTTTATTCTCATAACATGAGTGTAGTTGCTTCCTCAAAGCTATTGGATTCACTTAGTTATTCTATATCACCTGAGTCTCCATGAGTTTCTGCTTTAGGAGCTACCTCTGGTTTTAACTCTCTCGGTCCTTCGAATAACAAGTTGCTCACTATCTTTTGATCTCTTTTTTTGAGTGTAAACAGATAGTTTGTGGTCTTTTTGCATCTCCTCCTTTTTGCCTATGTTCCTCAAGCTATGGCATAAGAGGAGATGTTGCTAGAAGGGTAGATGAAGTTGATGGCTTAGATGTTGGTGGCAGTGAAGGTTTAGTTGGTGCAAACCATGGCTCAAGAAGTGCCAATTTTTTGTTAGGTTCTTGTTTCCAAGTTTGAGATTAACCTATGCTCTCCCCTTGAATTGAAGAATTGGGATATAAAGGAGTAGCTTCACAAAAGGTGACATCAAGGCTAACAAATGTATGTTGTGTGTTTTGTGATAGGATCAAAACATTTACTTCCTTTTTGAGTAGGAGAATAGCTAAGAAATATGCATTTGGTAGGTGGCTTGAGGATTAAGTTTGGTGCTTTGGTGGTTATAGACAAAGGCTGTGTAACCAAACACACAAAGTGGAAGAGTAGTTTCAAGATGGGATATTGAGAAATTACTTTGCAATTAGTTTCAAGATAGGATAAGATCCGATAGAGCATATGATTGATGAGGTAGGTTGTGGTTAAAATGGCATCCCTCCAATAAAACTTAGGTGCATTGCAGGTAAATATAAGTTCTCTAACAATGTCAAGGATATGGTAATTTTTTCTCTCAGCAGTCCTATTTTGTTGGGGCACATGGGCACAAGAATTGGTTTGCACAATACCATGCACTTAGAGGAAGGTACTCGAGATTGGTTAAAATACTCGGCACCATTGTCAGTGTGTAAGACTTAGATGGTAGTATTAAATGGGTTTTGATCATGTTGAAGAAATTCATGAACATGGATGCAACCTTAGACTTGTTTCGTAAAAGATGAGTGTCGTCATCAATAAAGGAAATGAACTATGTTGCTTTAGTGTGACTAGGTGTACGAAATGGTCTCCACAAGTCAGTATGAATAGCTGTGAAAGGTTTGGTAGGGATGTATTTGGCTCTAGGAAAGGACGTTCTATGGTGTTTGGCAAGTTCATACACTTTACAATAAAGTTCATTAACATTTATGTTTGGACATAAGGTTGGAAATAATCGTTAAAGGTAATGAAAATTAGGATGGCCCATCCTCTTATGTCACAACATAAAATCATTAACTTTAGAGGTAGATTCAAAATTACTAACAATTGGTGAATTACCCGTTCGATCGATGATATCAAAATAGTAGAGTCCCTCATACTTCTTAGCACTTCTGATTATCGCTCCAGATGATAGATCCTGAAACAAACAATAGAATGGGAGAAACTTAGCACAACAATTTGATTCCTTGGTCAATTGACTGATGGAAAGTAAATAGCAATCAAGTTTAGGCACAGAGAGTGCAAATTTGAACACTATAGAGTATAAAATTTGAATACTCCTTTTTCCCTCTACAAGTGCAAAGAAACCATTTGCAATCTTCACTTTAAGCACGAGATGTAAGTGGTAAATAATTGATGACAACTAGTTATATGATCGGATGCTCCCAAGTCACCAATCCACACAATTGAATCTCAGGATGTCTTTAGTGCCTGAAGAAAACTCCCTCTTTTTACAACTAAGACCCTAGCTTATGCACATTAGCACTCCCACAACCATAAAAATATTCTCATAATAGAGAGAATCTAGAAAACAGAGCCCCATGCATGGAGACCTTATGCACAAAGAGTTGTAGAACAGAACTCAAAGCACATGACCAAGAAATGTTGAACTCAAACTTGGAGAACGTCATAATCTCATCAAAAATGTCACGCCATCAACAGAGGAAGGTGTCGCTATTAGTCTAGTCCTCGCATGCTCTTCCACGTGCTGCCCTGCACCTTTTGACGCCGAACATAGCTTTGGTACATGTGGCTCACACGCGCCATTTGGGATTGGGTTGATCGAAGGCTGCTTGAGGTCCCTTTATGGGTAGTGAGATCCAAATCCTACTCCTTGCTACTTTGGGTCCAGCATTAACGCACAAACACTAGGTTCCCCCCCTCTCTCACAGCTCTAATGCTATGTGGAGTTTGAGAAGAAAATATTTCTCAAAAGGTAAGAGACAAAATAATAAATACTAGTAACTCCTAATAATTAGGCTAAAATATTTACAATAAATTCATATATTCCCACAGTATACTTCTTATGATGTCATTAAATAAAATTGCATGTATTCTCCACAACTTCCTTCTAGAAGCCCTTCTCTCTTTTTGAAATCTTTCTCTAAAATTCTTCTTATGATGTCGTTAAACAATACAAGTGTACTTTGCATCCTAAAGTATTGATATTATGATGCTTAGTTGTCGTAAGATTCACACGGTGGTAATGTATCATCATGCCTTCTAATTTTTATTTCCAAAGGGTGTGTTGAGAATTTAAGAATTGCTGAGCCCTAAGAGCTTGGAGACGCAAAATGCCTAAAGGAAAGGCTAATCCAGGTAGAGAACAACAGAAGTCCAACTTGCATAACACTGAAGAATTATATGACATAAGAAAACAAAGAAGATATCCTATTCCACATATAAGACCTTGTAAATGTACTCTCAAGAAACCTTGTACCTCTCACAAGATCTAAGAACCAGATTCATATCCCTTGAAATCGTCATTATCAAGGTTCTTCCCTCTTGGTTAAGTTTAGATAAATTACTTCACAAATTTTTGTATTGGTTTTACTAATTGTTTATGGAAATATAATTCAAAGAAATTAAAAATTTTAAATTCACATGTAATTTATTCCTCTTCATATTAAAAGTTGTCTGATAATGTACTGTACTTTATATGCTTATAACTTTTCACATAAATTTAGTTGTGGAGTTAGGTACCAAAGAAAGACAAGGCTTAACTTGGTAGAAATTAAACTAAAATAAAGTAAAACCCATTAACCCTTTTTGCTTTCATCTAATGACACATTTTTGCCTGAAATGTGATGTCAAGGTGATACTTCAGATGCCACCTTGTTAAACCCGTAATAGAAGCCCAAACACTGTCAGGATAACATGTATATGACATGTGAGAAGCAAGGTTAAGTTCGTAATAATATAGAAGAAATTCTGAAGTGGCTTAAAGCGGTAGCAATGGGGAAAAAATTAACCATTCAACCCTTTTTGCTTTAATCTAATGTCTCCATTTTGCATGAAATGCGATGTCAAGGCATATCTTAGGTGCCACCTTGTCAAACGCATAACGGCTTCCCAAACACTGCCAAGATTACATGTTGGTGGTAAACAAGGTCAATATCATAATAATATGGAAGAAATTCTGAAGTGGTTCGCAATTTAGAGGTGTGAAGATGTTAGAAGAATGCCAACTAATTTCTTTTCTTTTTTTTTTGTGATTTTTTTTTAGGGTAGGGGCAGTTCGATGCATGCTTAAATGTAATGATGCTTTACTTATTTAGTAGCTGCCCTACTCGAATCAGTTGTGAATGAAACCTTGCTTTCTTCTTTCTTTGAAACTCTTTTTACAGCCTTCCTTTTCTCTCCTCTTTTCTTTCTCTTACTGAAGTCATCAATAGCTTACTTGATTATTATGTATGATATTAGCCATACGCAATCTTGATTAAACAAGTGTCTGGTTACAGGCAGCTACAAGAATCTTGGCTCGTCAGCTTGTTAGGTTACGCCAACAGATAACTAATTTACAGGGAAGTCGTGCTCAGATAAGGGGTGTTGCAACTCATACTCAGGTTGGAAGAGGAGCCTTGTTCTTATGATGATAACAAACTGCTTATTTTCTAATTTTTAGATTGTCCATATGTCTTCCTCAGGCATTATATGCAAGCACTTCAATGTCCACTGGGATGAAAGGTGCAAGTAAGGCAATGGCAGCAATGAACAAGGTACGTTTCATATCTGACTCGTCATTGTGTTGATTAAAACTCTTCAAGTATACACCTTCAGCCTACCCTCATCATGAGACATAAGGGTCAAAAGGTTCTTGACTATCATTTACAAGGCCTACTTGAAGAAAGAGTCAAACATAATATGGACCATATATGTAATAGATAATTTCCTTTACTTAGCTCATAGTGATTTTATTGAAAGAATACTGTAATGTTTCAGATAGAACCTTGCTTTCTACATGCGGAGAAAAACTTTCCTTAGAGCTTAATTATTGGAAGAAGACACCATATTTTTTATTTTTACCTTCAACACAGCCTCATGCTTTAAGTGTGAGGAAAGTACGTGCCCGCCAAACCTTATGCTAAAGTTTATTCTAATTATGAGAATGAGGGTAGCAAGGACTGAATTCTAAACCACTTTCATGTTGTCTTTAACAAATCAAAGAAGGCGAACTATTTTTCATTCAACAACTGCCTATTGTGAATCATTCATAAGTTGATAATATTCTCACTTAAATGCAAATCTTTGTGATTGAGCATCACATGCTAGCAGTTGGCCCGAAGGGGGGAAAAATCATATTGCCAGGGAGCTTTTGGTCAAAAAATATTGCTAGTGGTTTATTGTCTGAGCGCTTTCCCAGATCTGCTAAGACTTATATTAATTACATTGTAATCATTATCTTACTTCTCTTTTCAGCAAATGGAACCTGCAAAACAGGCAAAGGTGATCAAAGAATTCCAAAAGCAGTCAGCACAAATGGACATGACGGTAACAATTTTTTTAGCATATGTTCTGATATTTTCCCATGCAGTTATGTTGTTGCATTAATGTTGGATGAAATAATTAAGATTATACCAGTTCTCAACATCTACTATCCTATTCAGATTGATGACCTTTAATTTGGGTTTTTTCAACCTAAAAACCATAAACATGAGTGAGAGAGATAGAGAGAGGCTCTAGGTTAAAGCATACCTCTTCTTTTTTTTTCCTCCCCATTTCCCCCTTGACTCCATTTATTTATACAATATTTCAGAGGGAGTAATACAATTTTATGTTACAATATTCCACCAGTCAACTTATAATTACTGTTTAGTCCCCAGAGATCATGGCAATGAGTCCTTGATTCCATGAAACAAATCTGGCGTATAGAAGGTTAAGAATGTGGGTTCCTGCCCTGACAAAGGTTGCACTAAAAAGTGAAAGTGAAATGGGGGGAAAATAAAATGTTAAGACCATTCTGCCCTCAAACAAAAAAAAAACGAAGTTTTTACATTGAACAAGCTTGTCGCAAATGTGAAATGAAGAGAAATTAAAATGTTACAGAAGACAGAACACTGATTGAGCAATGTAAGAACATTGAAAAATTAACAAATAGAGATGTATAAATCATTGAAGGGAAAAGCGAATGAAAGAAAGTTTGGCCAAATAAAATGTGACTTGGGCAGAGGGATGCACCACAGAATTATGGATTGATGCAAGAGCTTGTGACTTGGGCAATCTTGTTCAGAAACAAAAATGCAAACCTTTAATGAAAGAGGAGGCAGAACAGAAATGCTGCAAAAGAGTTGTTGCCATGACTTTGTTGAGTGAAAAAGGTTGGTCTTATTCTTGATTAATTATGCTATGAGTTTATTGACCCTCCTCTTTACCCACTAATGGAGACTTGATAGTATGAGATATCAAGCACATTGAGTAGCACACGATGCTCAATGGGGTATTTAAGTGGGTTAGTTTTCCCCTCTCAATAGTTAGCTTTTGAGGTAAGGTTTCTCATCCCACTTAGGCATACCCATCACCCACTTGCAAAGTAGAAGCTTTTATAAGTGAACAAGAACAAGCAGTTGCCTTGCTTGCCTGATAGATAGCTTGGGTGACCAAGCAAGCTCACTCAAAACCCTTTGAGACCAATTTCTTCAAATGTCTTTAATTATGTGAGTTTTTTTTTTTTTTTTTGCCCTTTTTTCTGGTTCCATGTTATATTTATATTTTTTAAGGTGTCCAAGTGTGACTGGCCTTGAGTCAACGTGGGAAGTCCATATTTGATAAAGTTGGAAGTTAATAATTAATATATAATAAAGTGAAAAAACCTAGAAAAAGTTTGAACTTTGAGATTTTGAGTTAAAATGTGACTTTTTTTTTGCATCTTGTCTATTTGTTTTCTCCTCTTGTTTTCAAGTAGTCGCTCCCTATTTTTAACGATATTATTTTGTGTTAAATGCAGATTGAGATGATGTCAGAAGCTATTGATGAAACTTTAGACAAAGATGAAGCCGAGGAAGAAACAGAAGAGCTCACTAACCAGGTGAATAAAACTCTGAATAGACAGTAGTTAGCTTTAATGTTGATAAAGAAAGTTAGTTAGCTAGCTTTCATAGTTCAGGTCCTTGTTTGCTTCACGGTATTTACTTTTTTGTTCATGCATGACAGGTTCTTGATGAGATTGGCGTGGACATTGCATCACAGGTTGGTTTTTAACTTAATGAATAATTATAGTCTGTTTCTTTCGTACTTTTTCTGTACTTTGTATTACTTTAACAGTTGAGGTTGATTCTGATCTTTTCTGATGGCAGTTATCTTCTGCTCCAAAAGGTCGGATTGCTTCAAGGAATGTTGAAAATGTCGCTACAGGGTAAATAATTTTGCTATTCCTTTTTGAGAAGGCCTCTTAGTTATCTCCACCAAAATTTTGTTGGTTTTGTTTTGTTCTTACGCGCATTGTTCCAAGGGCTCGAATGACTGCATTATCAACTTCAAAAGTGATTTTGAGCAATCTGAAAAATGATTTATTGCTTAGAAATTGTATGAAAAGTAGAAATTATTTTATGTTTGGCTAATAATCATACCCTCTGTACGTGAAAGTATTTTTTAAAATTACTCAAAAGCTTTTCAAAATATTCAGATTTATTTTTAAAATGCCCTTATTTTTATGTAACCAGCTGATCAATAGTACCTTTAATGAAATAAAAAAAAAAAAAAAACTAATTTCGTCATAAAATAAGCTGAAGAAAAGTGCCCTTATTTGATGCTGATTCCTGTAGTTTTTCTCTGAATGCAAGCAGGGCTGAAATCCAAGATGTGGAGGAACTTGAAAAGAGGCTCGCTTCTCTTAGACGAATATGAGATAATCTTAAACGGCTTAGGAATGCATAAAATGGTATCTTTGCAAAACATCTATAAAATATTATGCTTTCTATGATGAAAACGGCACCGTTAAATGCTGATTTTACATTCATAAAATGGTTCTAAAGATACCTATCTAGATTGTTTATAGGATTTATGGGTTGGTTGTTCGTTCACATATTAAATATGTATGTTCTGTTGTACCCAAAAATCTATATTCGGTTAGGCTTCCTGGGGTTCTTGCATGAATTTGCCCTCACAATCATATTCATAGCATCAAATCACCCTTTAAGATCTTTATACTCACTCATCCCACACGAATTCTCCCCTTATTAAAATTATCAAAAAAATTATGAAATTTGTTATGAGAGACTAAATAATTATTTATTTTTAATCACATTTAAATAAATGAATAAATGCACATAACTTGATTTATCATCTTTTTGCCTGGATATTTTATGTGGCCTTGTATTTAAAAAATATATATAGAGAGAGAGAGAGAATTGGCCATACCACTTGTTGGGACTTGAAAGAGTTTGAGAACATAATTTTTATTGGACTTAAAAAAAACATGTGACTAAACTTGATAATGCTTGATATGATTTAAAAACTTGTTAGAGGAGGAAAAATACCTTTTAAATCAACTTTCTGTCATTTGCCAATGGTTCAAGGCATAAAGAAGTTATAACTGCAACAGGTACATGCTCGATCCAATTTTATATTATACATGTTTGGATCCTTTGAAATTTCATTTTAATATTAGTACTCGAGATATTGGAAAAGAAAATAGTAGTAAGTTCATAATATTAATGACTCACTTTTCATATTTTGTTCAACATACAGGACACCAAACTACTAAATATTGATGATAGTAATAAATGATATAGGGATATGATTGAAAAAATAAATATAAAAATTATCTAATATTTTATATTTTAGACCAAGCAATGATTTTAGATGTTTTATATTGTAGTTCAGAGAAAGTATGTTACAATTTGAATGTGAATTTAGAAACAGAACAAAGTTGGATTTGAAGACATTTGAAGACAACTTCTCAAGTTTACTAGGCAAGGTTGATGATGAGTACTTGGTAAAAAAATGAACAGTTTTTATTTTTTAATAAATTCCATCGCTCAATAAATATGAGAGTATTATCACCTATTTAAATTAATTCAAACTTCTGTTTTGTGGGATTGTTGACTCGAAATTTTAAAATAAGTTGATTTAACTTCCTTAATCAGTTAAACTAAGTGCTCTCAATAAATGAGTGTAACTTTTAGTGACTATCTTAGACTTTTTTTAACGTAAAAAACTTGTTAACACCTGACTCACTAAGATGTCATATTAAATCAATGTTACATTAAAATTTAATTACTATCATCAATACGTGGACATTAAATATCCTCATTAACTATAGGATATTTAATTAATCTTGCTTGTAAACTATGAATTAATTAACTATGATATATATTGTGATTTAAAGAGAGTAATGATTTTCAAAGGTCTAAACTCGGCACATGTGCACAAAACGAAACTATCAACAAGATAAATATATTTGTTCATAGCTTATAGCTTATTATATTATTTCCTCTAGCGGAAGAAGCCTAGACACAACCATACAAATAATACAAGTACAAACTTGTAAAAACGGAAAAATCATCAATAAAAAGCACAAGTTGATCAAGTCACCACAATCCCCACAAGTCAAGAAATAATCTGAATGAATCAACTGATTTGGCTGAAAGAGGAATCTCATAATCACACAAATGAAAGATTCCTTGCGCTGACCACTTGACCTCTTGATATACATACATACCTTAAAAACACTCGAAAAAGCCTCTGGCATAGGAAGCATATTCCAAAATCATATACACAAGATATCCATCACAATTGGGTGCCAGACACTGGTAATGCCTCAAACAGCGTACCGTTCAAGACCGGCATAATAACTAGATGGACATTATTTCTTCTCTGTTGTTACGCCAACAACAACATTGCTCACCTGGGACATTTTTAAGGATTGAAAGAAATTGTCAAATTCATAAGGTGAAACACATCCAACAAAAAGAAAGGAAAATATAGCTTACCAATTTCCCACTTGCATCAACAGACATGGGATTTTCCACCACAACAGTTTGGCCTTGAGAATGGGGCATCGACTGAGATAATAAATAAAATAAGATGAATCTTAGTTCGATACAAGCACAGTAAACTTTCAACACGTTCCTAGTACGAATAATCACAAAAGAGAACAACCAACCGTTGAAGTAGAAGGTGCTGTTCCAGAATTGGTTGTTCCATTTGGTCTGTGGACAGGATTGGGAACCCTTCCATTGGTCCTCTAAAAAAGACAAATAGAAGAGGTGAACAGATCAGCTAAAGTGCATAAAACATAAAATACATGATGAATGCCTAAGTTCCCTTATTAAACCTCCAAAATGAGGACTTGCATCATTTTTAAACATCTCAAAAGGGACCTTTTTTTTTTGGGCGTTATACTAAAATAAAAGAGTAGGAACTTGCAGTGAATATTTTATCCCTATATTTTCCTATTTTCCCCTACCTATGAGGTCCCAAATCGAGGTTGCCTGTATAACAAGTAAACAATGATAAGGAGAGAAAAGTTAAAACATAAAATCAATAGACACGATCCTTTATTTTTGTGATCTTAGTGAGGAAACAACCAACCAAAAACCAAAAAAAAAGAAAAAGAAATGGAGAATGAAAACAATCTAATGTTTATGGTACAAAAAGGTCACTCAGAAAATAATTAAATGTGATCTTCATGATTGAAGAACCTAGAAATTTCTCAATACCAAGTTACCAAGTAGAGCTGAAACCATAAGGAAATACAATGTACCATCTCATCATATGAACAAGACTAGTAAACAAAATAACAATTGCTTCTCCCTTTCCCTCAATAAACTCCCAAGCAGAGATAGCTCGCAACAATTCTTAGTATTCTTGTCCATTCAACAATTGCATCTTCCTCACCCAAAGTAGGAATACAGTGCAAAATTTGCTTATTCAACCTTTTATACTACAAAATCTGAGTGTAACACCAGAAAGATTATCATTCAGTCAAGAAAATTTTCACAGTAAAGTATACATGATTTCGATGATTCCCCTAGATAGAAAAACTGAAGTATACTTGATGAGACGCAAGATTTTGTAGCTTAAATTTTCATCTTTATTGTTCATTTTAGTCATTATTCGGTAATCTGTATCTCAGTAATACTAGAATAAGCATGGAATCTAGACCCTGAAATATACATCCAAACACTTATAATCATCCAGATCCATTACATGAGGGAGAATGCAGTAGCCATGGAAAAAAATATATATATTGTGAGAATAATTAAATAGATATATATAGATATACTAGATGGATTCATTCCATAATTATAGAGATTTGACAAGATAGGGTCAATAGGGTTAATATTTGTTTTTTATTTCCTTTTATGAATGATTGTTGCAACTTGTATATATGCTGCCAATATTCTTGAATAATATTGATTGAGGTTTCTGGCTCATAAACACTGCATGGTATCAAAGCTCTCGAACACCGACCTCAACCACTCAGATAAAGAAAACAAAACCACACAAGAGTCCAAATCGTGCACTTAGCCCTCCACATTCAGGGGTTTTGGTGCCAAGACAGACTCAAAAACAATCCCAAATGGCGGAACTCCCCTTGGGTCGAGTTCTGCCAAGGGGACGTCTCTGCTACATGTGTCCGAAAAATTCAATGGGACCAATTATGTTGAGCAGGCCCAAAGTATTCGACTAGTTGTTGGAGGTCATGGAAAGCTAGGTTTCATCTCGGGTACCTCTAAACCTCCAAACACATTAGGCTCAGTTGCTTTAGTAAAATGAGAGACTAAAAATTCTTTGGTAGGTTCTTGATTAGTCAACACCATGATTCCTCAAATTAGACGATCATTTATGTTCCTCCCGACAGCACGGGATATTTGGGATACAGTCAAGGAGTCCTACTCAAATGATAAAGATGGTGCTCGAATTTATGACCTCAAAACTCAAAGTTGGCAAATCAAATAGGGTGTGCGTGATCTCACTAAAGTTTGGTTGGGGTTAGTTTCAGTGTAGCAAGAGATTGATCTCATTGCAGAAGCTGAATAGTCCTGTCCTAGTGATGTAGCATGATACAAGAAGCTTATTGAAGATGAGTGACTATTTCAATTCTTGGCTGGCCTTCATCAATCATTAGATGATGTCCGTAATCGCATTCTGGCTCGCTCTCCACTACCATCTACTCGTGATGCATTTGTTAAGGTTTGTCATAAGGCTTCTCATCGCAAGGCAATGTTACTCAGACCTTTCTCTACTCCTCCCTCATTTGAGCCTTCTACCTTAGGGAGCAGATAATTTGATCAAGGCTAAAAGGACTCAAAAGGGAAAATTGTGTGAGAGCATTGCAAAAAGACAGGCAACTCAAAGGATAAATGTTGGAAACTCCATGGAAAACCACCTGACTGGAAACCACGTAAAGGTAAATCTTGTAGCTATCAAACTACTTCTGATTCTACTCCGGACAAATCTAGTCCTACTCCAAACAAATCTAGTGCCTTACCCACCATTGATAAGGACCAGTTATATAAGCTTCTGGAGATGCTTCATACCTTACAATCCAACCAATCACCTTCTATATATCATAATGCTTCTATTGCCAAGCAAGTAATTCTCACTTTGCATTCAATGTATGTTCCACTAAATCTCGGTGGAATGTTGATTCCGAAGCCTCAGATCACGTCACTGCAAACTCCACTTTGTTCATCTCATACTTTCATCGCAATGGCCATGAAAAAATTGATATGGCAAATGGTATCTCCCCTCCCATTGCAAGAAAAGGTAGTATGACTATTTATAAATTTCTGCACCTGGACTCTGTCCTTCATATACCCTGTCTTGCTCGCAATTTATTGTCTATCAGCAAGTTAACTGGACATGCCAAATGTAGGGCTCACTTCTTCTCTACTCACTGTATTTTCCAAGATCTCTCATCAGGGAAAATGATTGGTAGTGTTGAGAAGTGTGATAGGTTCTACTACAACCTTAATGAATCAACTGTGAGTAATATATGGTCTCGAATCTACTACAACCTTGTGTCTACTTCTAAACAAACTGATCTTTTGTTATGGCATAAAAAAATGAGTCATCTCAATGTCCAATATTTGAGTCAATTGTTCCCTCAATTTTCATCTAATAAAATTTATAGTTTCATTGCGATATTTGTGAATTGGCCAA